GGAAGGCAGACAATCGGTTGCAGAACACAAACTTTATTAATCAGGGGGTCTCCCTGGCAACCAGCCCCATGCAGATAGTCAAAACCGCCTCTTTCCTTGCCTCTTGCCCTTAGAGGGTCCAGGCTGTGGGGCAAAGCGGAACTGCCGCTGAGACCGACGCTTCTGGTCTCTGGGTCCTTTGTACAGTGGCTCATATCTGCTCCTCGCAAGTTGAGCCACCGGAAGTGATCTGGCCTTGTCCTTAGCCGAAGGAACATAGAGGCCCAAGGTCTGCAAGGTGGTGCTGGAATCTTTCATCCCATGCAGCCTGACGTCCGTCTGGTCCGCAAAGAGCACCTTGCCATCGAAAGGGAGGTCCTGCATCAAAGATTGGGCCTCCGTCGACAGTCCGGACAACAGGAGCCACAACGCCCTGCGCATGGCGATCACGGAAGCCATCAAGCGGGCCACTTTGTCAGCAGCATCGGATGTCACTTGCAGGGCCGCTTTAGCCGACGACGACCCCTCTTCTATAAGAGCCTTGAAGTCCTTCCTGTCCCGGTCTGGGAAGAGGGACTCAAATTTAGACAGGGACCCGCACAGGTTGAAGTCGTACCTGCTCAGGAAGGCTTGGTGGTTGGCTACGCGAAGCTGGAAGCTAGCCAACAAATAAAATTTTCTGCCAAAGGAGTCCAGTCTCCTGGCATCTTTGTTTTTGGGGGTTGGCGTGGGCTGGCCCTGACACTCTCTGTGGTTTACCAATTCCACAACGAGCGAGTTGGGAGCCGGGTGGGAATACAAGTATTCATGGTCCTTCGCTGGCACAAAGTATTTCCTCTCGGCCTTTCTTGAGATTGGGGCCAAGGAGGCAGGAGTTTGCCACAGGGAGTTTGAGATGTTGGCAATACCCTGGTGCAGAGGCAGGGCCACGTGGCCCGGCGCAGAGGGAGACAGGACGTTAAAGAGGAAATCAGACGGACCCTCCATCTCCTCGGCCTGCAGCTGGAGGTTGGAAGCCATCCGCTTTAGCAGGTCCTGGTGCGCCCTGAAGTCCTCCTGCAGGACCGATGGCGGAGACACCGCTATGGTGTCATCCAGTGCCGGAGAGAGGGCCCTCACGGAGTTGGGCGCCTCGGTCGGTGCCGGGGCATCGAGACCGAGGTCAGAGTCCTGGCGCGGGTCCACCAACTCGTGATCCGCCAACTTGTCCCGTGGGTTGCCGGAGGAGGCTGATGGAGCCTGGGACACTCTGGCGACCAAACAGATCTCCATTTGGGCTGGCACCGATGGCCACGGTGCCCACTGGCACCACTGTCCTTGCCATGGGGTCCCTTGCCATTGGTTTGGCTGAGCGCCCAATGGCAATATGTGTCCTGGCAGAACGGCGCGTGCCGAGGATGGATGGGCGGGTGCTGAGGCCAAGGTCGCCAAAGAACGCTCGGTGCTGCGGGAGCAGTAGGAGCGGTGTCTGACGTCCTCTCCCTCGGGACCGGGATCTCGATGACGATGAACAGTACCCACGCGACGAACTGCTTCGGTACGCGTGACAGCGACGCGAAGCCTGGTGTCCTGACGCCGAGGTACCCCGGGGGAGCCTCTGGCGTGACGTCTAGAGGAGCAGGATCTGGAACGGGAGTGCCAACATCTGTCCCGTCAAGAGCAGCTCTGGTACCCACGTCTAGCAGATGAGTGTTTCCGGTGCCTCTCTCGGTGCCTACGCTCGCTGGCAGGCGGCGTAGAGGGTTCCCGCGAGTCCCGTGCGGATGGCGGCCCGGACAGTCTGGCCGGTGTCGAGGGCGGCTGGGAGCGGTCAGAAAAGCGGCAACTGTGCACCGAGCGGTGCAGGGAACGATCTTCGGAGCAGGAACTGTGGCTGCTCGGAGAAGTCTGGTGGGCACCAAAAGGGGGCTTGCCTCGCAACCTAGGGCCCATATCCGTTTGCGAGTTCGGGACGGGCAGAGACATAATGTCCTTCGCAGCCTGCACCGCCTCTGGCGTTGATGGCATCCGTACTGGTTGGGATGCCTGGACCGACAGTACCAAGCTACTCCGCTCCACATGAGTCGGAGCCTTTGAGCACGGGGGGAGATCAAGGGCTGCCCAGCAACGGCATTGCGAGGCCGGACCTTTCCCTTGCTTTTTGGAGGGAGAGCGGTGCCAACTGGTCAAAGGGGCCTCACTATGTACCGACGAGGTGGCGGCTGGCGCAGAGTCCGATCTGCGTACCGGCATCGGGGTCAGCGCCAACTCCATCAGGAGAGCACGAAGTCTGAAGTCTCTCTCCTTCTTGGTTCTTGGCTTGAACGACCTGCAGATGTTGCAATGGTCGCTGATGTGAGTCTCGCCCAGGCAGCGAAGACACTCAGCGTGAGGGTCGCTCCTGGGCATAGAACGGCGGCAGGAGTCGCACGACTTGAAGCCTGGGACATGGGGCATGCCCCAAGCCCACTCTAACAACTGAAGAACGATCTACAACAGTACCACTAAGGTCAAGAAGAAGAGCTGCAGCAGAGTTGGAGCACAAAAGTTCCGACTACCTTCACTGGTGGCAAGAAGGAACTGAGGGTGGGGGGGAGCCATGGCTCCCCTTATAGCGCGATATACAGGCACCACTGCAGGGGTCGCCTCGGTGCTCCCCCAGTATGGGTACTGCTAAGGGAAAAACTTCTGGCACTGGTGCACGTGGCAAGCACGCACACCTACTGTGGAATACACGAGAACAATCACTCGAAGAAGAAATTATGGAGCACATAGCAGGCAGCAATAACAGTGTGGATACTGCTTTCACTGAGATCTAACCTATTAAGCCAACAATGCCAGCAGCCTTTTAAACGTGCAAAGGCACATTCCACCACCATTCTGCACTTGCTCAGCCTATGGTTGAACCAGTCCTTACTGCTGTCCACGTTGCTTGTGTACAGCTTCATGAGCCATGGGAGCAAGGGGTAGGCTGGGTCTCCCAGGATCGATTGGCATTTCAACATGACCAATGGTTGTTTCGCAGTCTGGAAAGAAAGTCCCTGCTTGCAGCTTTCTGAGTTCCTAAAGATGCACACATCATGCACCTTTCCCGACCATCCCACGTTGATGTCGGTGAAATGGCCCCTGTGATCCACCAGCGCTTGCAACACCATTGAGAAGTACCCCTTTCAGTTTATGTTCTCTTTGGCAAGGTGGTCTAGTGGCAAGATAGGGATATGCATTCCGTCCGCAGTTAGGGAACCCCATCGTGGCAAAGCCATCCACTATGTCCTGTGCATTGCCCAGAGACACTACCCTTCTTACCAGAAGTCTATTGATTGCCCTGCAAACTTGGATCACAACTGACCCCATGGTAGAGTTACCCAATCCAAACTGATTCCCCACTGACCGGCAGCAGTCTGGCGTTGCAAGTTTCCACAGAGCTATCGCTACTCCCTTCTCAACTGTCAAAGCAGCTCTCATTTTAGTATTGCTGAGCTTCGGGACTGGGGAAAGCTCTTCACACAGCTCCATGAAAGTCGTCTTACGCATTCAAAAGTTCTGCAGCCACTGCTCATCATCCCATAGCTGCACAACGATGCGATCCCACCAGTCAATGCTTGTTTCCCGGGCCCAGAAGGGGTGCTCCACCATGTCAAGGTGACGCATGACTGTCACCAGCAACTGAAAATTGCTCCACTCCATGGCTTCCAGCAGGGCTGCTTGCCCAGCATCCATTGTTCTGCACGGTGGCTCCTGCTTCAACTGAGTAAATACTGCAGGATTAGGCGTGAGGTGTTTGTAATACTCACAACAAAGTACAGCTGAGATGGGTCCATGCTTGCCATGCTATGGAGTCTGTGCAGGTAACCCAGGCTTAGGAAAAAAGAAAGGAAAAGGTTTGGCTTCTTTGCCATTGATTTCAGGGAGGTAGGGAGGTAAGTGCATCATGGAAGGCTAATGCCATGCTCCCATAACCATCTGCACAAATATGTTTTGGTCCCATAAGGCACTGCAAGACCAAGCCAAAATTCTACTCGCCTACATGCACTGAAGGATAGCTACCCACAGTGCAGCGCTCTGTGCATCAATGCAAACCCTGCTAGTGAGGATGCACTCCGCCGACACAAGCATAGCAGGGACACACAAGATCAACTTGCTTAAATCGGAGACTCGATGTCTTATATAAAATTGACTTAACTTTGTAACGTAGACATGCCCTGAGTCTGTTCAATTGCTCTGCGCTGACCAGAATGGATTATGCTTTAACCTTTATTTCTCTGTGCTAATCTATGAACTTCCAATGCTGTGTTCCAGTTGACTAATAAACCCTACTGTTTTGAAAATGCTGCTTGAGTGTTGCTGTAAATACTGGGTGAAGCGCATTAGTCCCTGATGAGTGTACAAGTCTCTATTAGGAGTCTATCTCAGTTGGACTCACTGAACAGAGTTCACAATGTGAAGCATGATTGCTAAAGTCCAGAGGTTCAGCCTAAGAAGGCAGCAGTGATGCTGTGGCCTACCCTGAAATAAGAGTGAGACCTGTAAGGGATCTGGCACACTGAAGGGATTTCTCCAAGAGACTATTTAAAAACTAGACACTGCACCAATCCTGTGAATCTGTAACACCCTGTCATATAGTTGTATAGTATTTTTCATTTATAGAGCTCAAACTGCTTTCTTCAAGAAGTTGGGTAAAAGTTCCCCCTACTTTAACAAGGGAAAAACGGAGGCATGAAAAGTGACTTCCTGAAGGTTTCACCTCAAGTCAATGGCAGAGCCATGAAAGCACCCAAAGCTTCTGCCTCTCAGACCAGTTCCCCAACAAGTGGAGTGTGCTTCCTCTGCACTGCAATAAACTGCACTACAAAAAAAAAAAAAATCAAGCAATTCAGGTTTAGTTTAGGAAGCCTGAAAATCACATTTAAACCAAATGTTAAAGAGAAAAAGGGGAAGAAGGGATTTATATAATTTGCTGAGGTCAAGATTTACTAACTTTTTTCCCAGTTAATGTTCTGATCCTTATTTTCTGGTAACAGTTTTAAAAAGCCAGCACACACCTCATGTAACTGAAGCTGTAAACCATGGATCTGATCAGCTAGGAGTGAGGCCTCTTCCTGAATGTCATCCCGATTTTGCCTTGCCTGCTGAAGGTTACTTGTCAGCTGAGCTATTATCTCATTCCGTTCCTGGACAGCCGTCTCCAGCTCCTACATGAAACATTAATGCATCTTTAAAACCAGACTTTTGCAGCACTTTAGACACGTCAACCTTCATTAAAAACAAAGGAACTGGCTCTTTGCATTGTACTTAAGGCATCAGTAAAACTTGCTCCACAGGAGTGGTCATCTTTCTGTGAAAACTGCAAAAAAAAAAGTTTATCTTCCACTGATCTCAAAAGGTAAAGGAAGTCAATTTAGAACATTGTTTTTAGCAAATGCAAACATTTTAATAGGTAAAAGGTGAAACAAAAAAAGTGTAGAATTTCTACAGTAAGAAACTGAATCCTCGGTGCCCCCTTTATGTAAAAGACAGGCTGTATGATCTAGGATGAATGGAGCAGAGATGTTCACCTCTCCTCATCCAAGTGAGAAAAAGCTAATGATTTGGGGTATGTTAATCCTATTCCATATTAATCTCATTAGCTTCTTTAAAGTATTTCTCATGACAGGAAAATTTTTCGTTTCCTACTCCTAAAAGGAAAAAGTAAGTCTGCAGCCACGGAGGAAGCAGGAAGACACTCTTCAAGCATGTGGGGTGCAGTTCATCTCCATGTGGAAGTCCTAGAAACCAGGAGACTATAAATTGAACACAAAAACTCTCCTCCCCGCCCCACACACATTTACCCCATTTATCACCACTACCAGCAGCTCTGCAAAAGAAAAAAAATAGAGTACATGTTGAAACTCACTTTAAATGAGCACAGAAGAATGATCTCCAATTTAAAAAAAAAAAAAAAGGAAGAGATGCTCCATATTATTTGAGCCTTTACCCAGAAACGCGGCAGGTAAACAAACCAGTCCGGCCTGCCAGGGGCTTTCCCTGAACAAGCAGCGGCCCTAGTTTGAGAACCACTGACCTACACAACATTTGATAGAGACAATGGAGTTTTCATTAAACCTGGTTTTGAAATTTTTACAACAAAAGGTAATAAAGTACTGTTCCATTTGATTCTTGTTTGTAAACACAATGTAGAAAATTTAAATGATCACATAAGAAAGTGAGTCCCTTTTCTCCACAATGCAATTCCAATTTTCTAAACGCCAGTTAACTGACCTCCTTAAATTTGGCTTACAATGACTGAAACTTCATGCCTTTGTAACTCCCAAAGCTTTGCTTCCACAGAGCACTAGTCTTCAATTCAGAAAAGCTCTTACACTTAGGAGCTCTCCATGATCGAAGCTATGTGGTGAGCCTAAATTATTTAAACCCCTAAAAAGGTTTCAGGAAACCAAAACAATAATGTTTTAAACCTGCCCAATCCAAAAGAACAAGAGATTTCTTTCAATATCAGATATGTTAACTATCGATACTTAAAAGAAAGGATTATATTCTGGAAGTTTTGTTGACTTCCTTTAATTTGGTGCACATTTAGGTGTGTGTTTTTTCAGAGAGGAACCTCAAGATTGTATTCTCTTGCCTATTTGGATAATCAACAAGCCTCAAATTTTATGAAGATGTCAGGACACCTGAAACCTTAAAAATGAAGGTTTTGCAAAATTGGTTTGGTTTTGATACAAGAGGGGTCTGTCTTTTTCTTATAGTTGGCAACTTTTTATACCTTGCCATGCCAGTAAAAGCTCAGTGAATTTCTCTATTATTAATTATTAATATTATTATTATTATTATTATATCTACTGCAGTAACACCTAGGAGCCCAGGCATGGACCAAGACCCCAATTTTGAATAGATATAACTTTCAGATAAGTTTACACAGATTATAGTTTTACTAATAGTTGCCTCTATCAATGATATTTCAGAGCATAGCATATTTGCTGTTGCTCTGTAATAATTTATGAATATTATATTTTCTATTTGTCTGATTGTTGTACGAATATTTACTGTACGCCTATACTTAGTTAATTCAATAGCAGGATTGTCAGCAACAGCACCCAAGAAGGGTTGATCCTGATACACACTTCCCTGCAATCACTTCATGACAATCATTCACTTTGATGCTCTGGCTCCTGACCCCCCCCCTGAGGAATTCAAAATGGTTTTGTGCAGCTGTTCCAAGCACGTGAGCTGAGACAACAAAGAAATCTGGCTGGATTTGAAGACCATCTCTCAAAAGACAGACAAGAGAAAATGAGAACGTGAACTCAGATTCCACAGTTGGGGTCACTGTATTCACCGCTAAGTCATAAGCTCCCATGGGGAAGAACCGCAGGTATCAAACCCAGACAGACCAGTTGAGCAAGCATGACTGATAAACTGGGTCGCTGGCTGCAGTGTCCTGTGAAAGAATCTCAAGATTCCACCCCAGAATAGGTAAAGTCATGAGACCCAACACATGTGATGGTGCACTCAGAGACACCAGAGAAGGAGTCAGAGGTGCAGCTAGTCCTGTAACTGTGACACATATTACTTTGCTGTGGTATTTAACGAAGTTACACTGTTACCCATAACTCTGCTGGTAGCATCTTCAGTAATCTGATTTTATTAATAGTACCTGAAGATGTGTAGCCCCACTATGCTGGGCAAGTTGTTCCAGTAAGTCATCCACCTCTGTAGTGAGTCTTTCAGTTGCTTCCTGTTTCTCCAGAAGTCTCTTTTCCAGCTCCACAATTCTCGTCCGACACATCTGGACATTAAGCTGACCATATTCCTTAAAAGAACACAGAACATCTTTCTTCATAAAAGAAAATGAATGGTATTTACTTAATAGTGTGACGTTGTTACTTTAAATTTATGGCAAAATTATATTCCTATCGGGCATAATCTCTCTACTCATCCATCTTTATAAGCACATAGTACCTTATACCTTTCCCTTTGGACCTCATTTCATGTAATATACTGAAATTTTAAACAGCAACATCTTTATTTTGAAAATTTACAAATAAGTATTTGAGTGAGAGAAAACACTTTGAAATGTCATGATGTATTAAATTTAATGGACCAAATTAACTCTTAAGAAGAGCAATGTGATTACATAGCCCCATCTGATGCTACCACAATTTGAGGTTTAAATCTGATTTCCAGCAGCAAATTATAAAAATGAACTGCAACTATATAACCAAAAATAAAGTTATTACATTTGATTATACTGAATTTCCCTCGCCACCCCCCACAAGAAGAATTCAGGAATATTTTGTTAATTTAAAATTATATTAACAAGCACAGATAGTGTCAATCAGCTGCAAAAAAATAACTCATGTTTAATGTACTGAAAAATAATAAATGCCTAATGTTCAACTATTGTTTGCATTGCACCACAAAACCAAAGATATGTCTGAGATACATCGACGTAAACTCCCTCAAATTTTCAATCACAACTTCAACCACCAGCACCCATCCATCAAAATCTCTCTGGAACACTCCCGCACCAGCATCAATTCCTGGACACAACGATCAGCTTCAACAATGGAACCCTACAGACAAAAAACCCACAGATCATCACACTTAGCTTCACAGATTTAGTAACCACCCAAAATGCACCAAGAAAACTTATCTACAGCCAGACGCTCAGATACTACAGAATATGCTCCGAGGAGAAAATCCAGGTTACACACCTTCACACACTTGAAATCACCTGCACCAAACAAGGACACTCCACCAGAAGTAGATCACATCATGGAATGGGCCACCCAAATACCATGAGTAAACATGCTTCAATACAGGAAAAAAGCCCTCCAACCACACACCCCTAGTTGTCACCTAGCACCCCACACTGGAATCTACATCAGGTATCATTAAACAACCCACACTGGAACCTATATGGGGTATCCTTAAACAGTTACAACCCATACTCAATGGGGACCACATCCTGAAAGAAATCCACCTTTTCTGGCCTTCAAACTCCTCCCCCATCATCACAAGAAGCAAGCTCCCCACAGACTAGGACACATCAACTCAACTGCCAGAACAGATGCAAAACCTGCAAATGTATCTCCACAGTTATGATCATTAATACCCAACCCCCACAACACACCTTTCAAGATCCATGGGCCCTACACATGCCTATCACAAAATGTGGTGTAACTCATCCGCTGCACTAAATACCCCAACAACTAAACCAGACCATCACTACACTCTCAAATGAACTCTCACAGAAAAATGAAAAGACAAAAATACACCATATCACTCACAGGTGAATACTTTCCACAAAACAATAATTCCATAGCTGACCTCTCAATCCTTGTCATCAAAGAAAACCTGCACAACACCTTCAAAAGATGAGCCTGGGAACTTAAATTCATAACTCTGCTAGATACCAAAAATCATGGACTTAATAAAGACTCTGGATTTATGGCTCATTACAACAATCTGTAACCTACTAACCCTCCATTGTCCTACTACTGGATAGGCATTAACTGCCCATTTCACCGAGAATGGTCTTTTACAATATGTTAACTCTATCTGTTCTACACTTGTAATTAGCTGGGACACTCCGAATACCTTTCCCAGGCCTGAAGAAGTGCTCTGTGCAAGCTTGTCTCTTTCACCAACAGAAGTTGGTCCAATAAAAGATTTAAATTTTATTAGAGAATATTTGAAGAAAATAAACGATACAGAAAATTTGAGGCGTCAGTTATTGGTCATTGGGGGTAACATACAGAGTATAGGGGTATGTTGGTGTTTTGGGGTTGGGCAGCACACATAGTATATACAGACTGCAATGTCCCCAATGAGGGGGGGAGGGTAACAGGTGGGCGGGATCAGGAAACAGCCGATAAGCGGTGAGGGTCTATATTACCTCACCAACCTGATCTCTTTAATTTTCAATTAGCCATACAAAAAATAGTTTCCAGTCATCTGCAAGTTGTTTGTTGTAGAGTAGGAATTTGCTATATCGAAGCCCTTAGAAAGCCCTTACAATAATGAAGCTCATTCATTGGAATTCTCGGGCAAGAGATGGGTTTCTGTATATTGCTTCACTTCAAAGAGGAATATTATTTATATTCTTAAGGTGTTTTTTTTTAAATTAAGAGTTTGATACCTTTATCTGGTAAAAATGTTTATTCAATTTCCCATGAACAAGCTCTGTAAGTTCCAGAGAATTACTGGTTCCAACTGTCAACTTGATTTGCTAACGGTACAATGCAACTGCCTACAGAATCTAGACTACAAGAACACTAGCATGATTAAAATAATTAAATCATGTCCTAACAAATGTTTAATGAGTATCTCATTTATAACACTTTAATAATCTTGTAGCCATAATGCTCCTCTCTCATGAGCACACCAGAGCATACCAAGAACATTTGTTCAACACTTACTTCAGAAGCACAGTCATCCACCAAGCATGGGTTAGAAAGGTCAACATCAGCCTAACAAGAAAAAAAAAGATACCACAAAGTAAGTCACGTATGTTTTTAAAATATATAAAGAAAAGGTTTTTGAAGAGCCTTCATGAATCTACTTACTAAATATGAAAGCCAAAAAGTTAGACAAATTGGCAGCTTCTCAAACCTATATAACTTAGTAAATTCTCCACTGCTGAGCAGCCAGTTAGACAATGATTACATTCATATACCTCGGTAAAAGTTAACAGATTCAGATGCAAACACATACGATGAAACGATGTGGAGGTTTTAAATTCTATTGCAAATTCAAGCTCAAAAATATGTTAAAACTCATGATTGAGAGACAAGACTTTACTTTCTCCCATCATGGCTTGCAAATTTACCAATAAAGATTAGTCAGCAAAGCGAAGTGGTAAGATAAAATAGAGAATTTAACAAACACACCAGAAGCCCTAAGACATATTTAAGAAAATATAAACCTTTGCTGATACACCCACTTAACAAAACCTGGTGCCCTATAAAACATACAGCTCTCACACAATATCCACAATTAAGCTCACAAGGACCACCATGGTACTGTTTAGAAAAGAAAGATCAGAGCCATCTCTGTGTTTGTGACCCTACATCTAGTCACTTTCCAGCTTCCACCTCCTCCCTACAGCAGCCATGGAAATTTTGGCCTCTCCAGATGCCCCAAATCCAATACCTTTGCCTTAAAAACCAGACTATTTTAATGCAAGTTGGATAGCAAGAAAAAATATTTAACAAATGGTTAAGTAAAAAAAATGCTTACATGAACATTACAGAAAATATTCCTAGATTGGCACTAAACTTAAATTACAAGAACATTGGAGAGTATTTCTCTCTCAATCCAAACATCTTAGAACCCTTTCTACCAACTTCGTAAATCCTCAGCAATGTTACCATTGTAACCAGAGACCCCTGAAAATACTGGGCTTATCTTCACTACTGGGGGGAGGGGCGCGAGGGGAGGGAAGGGGAGAAAGGATTAAGTTTGTATCCGGAATACTATATAGTTGAATCCAGACACAGGTAGTGTTTGCAAATAACTCAAACCTCAACAATTTGGGTGTACAGCGGGTCCCCAGCATACGTTGGGGCTGTGTTCTTGAAAAGGACAATGGATACCGAAAGGATGTATACTGGGGACCCGCTGGTACAGCAGTGGCATAGGAAAGAGGGGACACTTATGTGGGTGGCGGGCAATGACGGGGGTATTTGTGGAATTTGTGGAGAATTTAAGGTTCCATTAAAGCTGAAAGAACTAAATTCATGTCCCATGAATGAGGTACTTTTCTAATTGGGGAAAAACATGACATTTAAACCTTTTAGGAATCTGTTAAACATTCGGGGGCGGGCGGGTGAAGAACCTGCAATTGCTGGGTGGCAAGCCAAAACTGTACTTTAATGGAGCTTAAAGAGAAACCTGACTGTTTTAAATATAAAAGGTAATCCAGAATGAGTGGAATAAAAAAGCAAGTAGGAACACATCCTCCTTTTTTCACGCAAGATGAAATTCCACCACAAAACAGCTGATCGGGAGGTGTGGGGAGGGAGGGGGAGGCTCTGATCAGCAGGACTGCCAGTGGGCGGGAGGCACTGGGAGCGTGGGGAGAGCTGATGGGGGTCTGCTGACGTATTACGCTGTTTCTCTGGCAATGTACATTGGTAAATTCTGGCTCCTTCTCAGGCTCAGGTTGGCCACCCCTGAGTTGGTTCCTTTAAAACTTCTGTAGATCTGAAAACCTGAACTGGCGAGTCCATACTGAAGTTATGAGGATGACTCAAGCTCTGTCTTTTATCACTTTTCTTAATACTCTCAGAATTAGTGGAAATGGTATAAAAGCATACAGCAGATGCATTGTCCATGGAATCAGAAAGGGATCCTCCAGAGATCCTCAACTCATCTCTCCCCGAAAACAGAAAAGGGGAAAACTTTCTGTTGCCCCTGGTTACAAAAAATTTTTACTCCTGGGGGAATTCTGCACCACTGCGTAATGCAGAATTTTGCAGAAATTAATATTGGGTGAGCAGAATTTCCTTTTTTCCCCGCACCCACAGAAATGGGACGCAGCGATGTTGGCCTCCACTAGGGGTCACTGTACCTGGCAGAGCCCAGCTCGCAAATAGAAGACAAGGCCAGGGGGAAGAGGAAGGAAGACGTTATTCACCTTTTGCTGAAATGATGGTTCTTTGAGATGTGTCCCCCTGTGGATGCTCCACTTTAGGTGTCAGTGAGTCACTGCGCCACAGAGCAGAGATTTTCGGTAGCAGTCCTCGGTCAGGGTGCGTGTGCGCAGTAGTCTTGCGATGCTGTTGGTGCCTCATGTAGTGCGCACACGACCTGACCCTTCAGTTCCTTCTCTACCGCAGAGCTCGATGAATGAACTCCAAAGTAGAGGGGAAGAGGATGGTTAGTGGAGCACCCCCAGGGAAACATGTCGAAGAACCATCGTTACTGCACAAGGTGAGTAACTTCTTCTTTGAGTAGTGTCTCTGTGGGTGCTCCAGTTTCATAGAAATCATAAATCATAGGACTGGAAGAGACCTTGAGAGGTCATTTAGTCCAGTCCCCTGCACTCAAGGCAGGACTAAGTATTATCTAGACCATCCCTGACAGGTGTTTGTCCAACCTGCTCTTAAAAATCCCCGATGATGGAGATTCCACACTCTCCCTAGGCAATTTATTCCAGTGCTTAACCACTCTAACAGTTAGGAAGTGCTCTCTAATGTCCAACCTAAACCGCCCTTGCTGCAATTTAAGCCCATTGCTTCTTGTCCTATCCTCAGACGTTAAGAAGAACAATTTTTCTCCCTCCTCCTTGTAACAACCTTTTATGTACTTGAAACTTATCAAGTCCCCTCTCAGTCTTCTCTTCTCCAGACAAAACAAACCCATTTTTTTCAATCTTCCCTCATAGGTCATGTTTTCTAAACCTTTAATCATTTTGTTGCTCTTCTCTGGACGTTTTCCAATTTGTGCACATCTTTCCTGAAATGTGGCGCCCAGAACTTGACACAATACTCCAGCTGAAGCCTAATCAGCGCGTGTAGAGCAGAAGAATTACTTCTCGTGTTTTGCTTACAATACTCCTGCTAATACATCCCAGAATTCTGTTTGCTTTTTTTGCAACAGCATTACACTGTTGACTCATATTTAGCTTGTGATCCACTATGATCCCCAGATCCCTTTCCACAGTACTCCTTCCTAGGCAGTCATTTCCCATTTTGTATGTGGGCAACTGATTGTTCCTTCGTAAGTGGATTACTTTGCATTTGTCCTTATTGAATTTCATCCTATTTACTTCAGACAATTTCTCCAATTTGTCCAGATCATTTTGAATTTTAATCCTAGCCTCCAAAGCACTTGCAACCCCTTCCAGATTGGTACACTTTAGGTGTCTGTAGAGCAGTGCCCCACTGTGGACGGTAGGGGCTTCGGAGTTGCACGTGTCACGGCCGAGAGCACAGCAAGGTCTAGTATAGCATCTGACAAAAAACACTGAGTGATGGCATAGTGTTTTGCTCTGATGCCCATGTGGCAGCCCTGCATATATTTATTAGAGGAACATTGTTCAGGAAGACTATAGATGTAGACAGGGCACAGGTAGAACGGGATCAGAGCCTAGTGGAGGTTCCTTGTATCCAACTTTGCTATTGGCTATACAAGTAGAGATCCATTTAGATAGTCTCTGGGTCGATACTGCACAGCCCTTGGAGCATTCTGTTGTGGAAATAAACAGTCTTGGAGATTTCTGGAAGGGTTTGGTTCGGTCTTAATAGAACGCTATGGCTCATCTGACATTGAGTGAATGTAGGATGGCCCCTTGTGAATACCCATGTGGTTTGGGGTAAAATATGGGGAGGTGTATGGTTTGGTTTACATGGAAAGATGTCACTAGTCTAGATAAAAAATTTGGGTGTGGCGGCAACATGAACTTGTCTTTAGTGAACACAGTGTAAGGGGGCTCAGCCATAAATATCCTGATTTCACTGACTCTTGTAGCTGAGGTGATCACAACCAAAACCGCGACTTTCATAGACATATGAAGGAGTGAACAAGTCATCAATGGTTCAAAAGGTGCTCTGGTGAGGCATCTGAGTACAAGATTCAAGTCCCATGGGGGTGTAGGTTGTTGGACGTCCAAGTACATGTTCTGTATACCAATAAGCAAGCACCTAGTTGTTGGGAGAGCGAAGAGTGACTCTCCCTCCACCTTGTGGTGAAAGGCTCTAACAGCCATTAGGTGTACTCTGATTGAGCTTATGGATAAACCCGATTCTTTGAATTCCAGTATGTAATTTAGTATGATTGGTAGAGGCACCATGACTGCAGTTAATTTTTTTTTGTTGGCATCATAGTGAGAATCTCTTCCATTTTTGGAGGTAGTTATGGCAAGTGGTGGATCTCCTACTATTTAATAACACCTGTTTTACTCTTTCTGAACAGGCTAATTCATTGTGTTAGAACCATGTAGGACCCATGCTTTGAGGTGAAGTTTCTCTGGATTTGGGTGGAGAGTCTGGCCTTTGTTCTGTGAGAGGAAATCCACCCTCAAGGGGAGAATTCATGGAGCGCAAACTGCTAAGCACATCAGGTAAGGGAACCAAGGCTGTCTGGGCCACATTGGAACAATCAATATGATATGGGCCCGGATGTTCCGTATCTTGTGACTGACTCGTGGGATTAGAGGTATCGGTAGGAATGGCGTACGAGTGCTGTGTCCCACACGATGAGGAAGACATCCCCTAGAAATTGGGGTGGTAGTCCCACCCTGGAACAGAAAAGTGGGCAATTGTGGTTCATTGCTGATGCAAACAGGTCTACTGAGGGACAGCCCGGTTCCTGAAATATTGCTTGGAGGACACTGTTGTGCATTTCCCATTCATGTTCCTGGGAGAAATATCTGCTTAGTGTGTCCGCCATCTTATTCTGGCACCCCGGGAGGTAAGATGCCGAGATGATTATGTTGTGGTGAATGCACCAGTTCCAAAATTTCATG